AGATGACATTTACAGGGGATAGATTACTGTGATAGTGGACGTGGTTAGCGCCAAACCCACTGTTAACCTTCACAATGGGCTAAGAAGACCAGATTGTATCCGGCGTTGGTCGCTTTTTTCAATTCAAGCCACAAAAGACCGCCTAATGTAGTGTTAGTTGACAGTAGACTTTGCGCGGCTGCTACTGCACTATCAACCCTTACTTACCTCCAGTAGGTGTCAAAGCAGACTTAATAAGGCTGAGACGGATACGGCTACACCTACTACCACTAGCTAGCAATGTAAATGTGCGTTCGTAGTACTGGTTTTAGCGCTAACATTTATCAGAAGTGACACTGATTAAAGCCAACGCTGGGGCTCATACCTCTGGTCTAAAAAGGAGTGTAAATCCAGGTTGAAACTATTCCGAATACGTACAAGTTTGGAGCCCTGACAGCAGAGCTTGCCCTTGTTTCCATACGCTCAACTATATCCATCAGGTTGTGCTCGTTTCGATTATGTTTGGACTACCATACTGCTGCTAGAAGCACGAGCCTACTTTAAAATGCTGATTATAGTAACCATGCTTAGTAAAGCCAGTAAAAAGTATACTATAATACTGTCTGTGTGTGTTTTTTAAGAAATCGGCACCCATTATAAACTCCCAATCTGTAGGAGGTAAAGTGATAAACTTATGGGTTATATAAATCATTTACTAATAGCACGAGTCCTACCATTCCTTTACGTTGTAAAGTTTACCGTCTGTAGACAACCTATAGGCCTACTACAGTATCTATCTGTAGCTTGGACTTTACAGCAAGTCTACTCAATTCCTCTCTATCCGAGCGGAGAGTATGAATCTGGGTTTATGCTCTTCCGCCATACCCGTCAGGCGATACCAGAGATAGCAAAGGATTGCACGGGTTTCACCAACCTTAATCAAATTACACTCAGGATATTCAATTAGTCAAAATGGAAAACAATGCCTGTGATCACCGCACAAAATGCAATTACCTCCGGAATATTTACTTTAAGATATTAATATATAAGTCTTAATCATATCTTGGTGTAACAATTTAAGTAGTCGAAAATAAAACATTACTTCGTTCGCCCTACTGCTGTAACATAATCGAGCCCAGTACTGTGTATTAAATTGACTTTACGAACGTAAATATAAGGTAAACTTTCAGAAATTAATGTAAATATCCGATTTTCATCAGGCAAAATACGTCGGTTTTCATAACGAACAAATACGCAAATAATTAGTGAAAGTTTTGTAATTTTGCTGGCTGTTTATGGAAAATTTAGTAAAACCTGGACCTGCATAACTTTTATAGATTGGCAAACGTTTATTTAACATTTCTTAAGTCTGTTTTCCTAACGCGCTTTGTAAATTTCTATCCCACAGGGTAAAGATAAACGCGTTGTACAATGTTAAATTTAAATTTAAATCGAGTAAAAGAATAAGGTTGTGGAATAAAGGTCTTATACCTCCATTAACAAAAGAATTACCGACCCACAAAGTGCTAACTGAAATTATGTAATGTATTAGTTTTGCGAAAAATTAATAAATAAAATTGTCATATCAATCCCCGTGCTGTATACTCCAGAGGTAGTAAGATCAAACCCCTGATGTCGGCTTTTAAACGACCTTTCTTAAGGCCGCCAGGAAACTACACTCTGTAATGTATGACAACTTGATATGTGAGAACTTCTTCACCCGATATCTAGTGCTTTTATACATTAATATAGTTTTCTTAGAAACCATGCGCTGGGAAACGTTTTCGTGCTGTTTTTTGTAGAGTATAAACCTTCATATGGTGTAATGAAGATATTTATACTGTGCAGTGTTTTAAAACGTTTTCTATATGCCATGAAGAAGAGTACACGACGTGCTCATAAAATTTGGATTTGCTGTGCACCAGTGGCAAATTTGCTCGCTTAAGTATGGACATTTTACGGTTTTAAAAATATAAGGATTATAAATTTAAACTTATAATTTGTTTTTCATGCTTATTACAAGTTGACTAATATGTAAGTGCACCCAAGTATGAATATTCTTAGATACCTGTAAATATATTAAAATTTATAAGGCCTTTGAAAATAAATGCATAAATATTATTTAGTGAGTACTGCTTGAAAGCGACCGGAAGGAAGTTCTTCCCAAATCGGTAGCCCGACGTGGCTGAAACAGTTTGCGAGTATGTTGCACGATGCTTAATTTCGAAAGCCTAATTAATTCTTTTTTTTCGAATCGAGAACAATTAGGATTTTTTGCGATTTCTTGAAACAATAGATCTGTTGTATAAGGTGTGTATGAAAATAATTCGCATTTTAAGACCCTAACGCGCGAAAGTTGCACTAAACAAATAAATAACATTTTAGCAGCTAAACCCATTTGTTTTTTCCCCGACACTGACATGTAAGCGGAAACACATATGTGTTAAGGAGAGCGACATAAATTCGGTGGAACAAGCCTGTAATTAGATAAGCGGTGTCAAAGACGTTTTTAGCAATATGGAAGAATCGGGGTTGTCTATGGCGCTTTTAAAATAGTTCTTTGTAAGCACTTTTTAATTCAAACCAACATTTACCTCTTATTTTCATACATTAAATTTCTTCGTTTTTATTCTGCGCGGGAGGACACTTAAACGTTGGTTAAACATGAATTATACAGATTCACTAATTTCCAAAATAAAACCCAAACGTCCATAAATTAGCAAGAAGCAACTCACACAGGTTGCTCACAAAGTACAACATAACCACGAATTAAACAGATACAATTTTGGCACGAGACCTATGGAAACCAAATGAAACTGTACCTCACTGATGACTCCTCCTGGATGCAAAAAATGACTTAAGAGTTAGGAGGATTTTTAAAATTCACTCCTTGTGCCCTTTGCCTTAATGAAACTTGTGAAAGGTTTTCCACCAGAAGAAAATTTTTATAAAAATTTCATATGACTAAACGAAGAACAGTGAAAATTTTTCCGATATTGTGCAAATAAGCTGCATAGCCTGTTTAGTTAAATAAATTAAAAACAAACACCTTCAGTCAGCTGTCGTTGTATTTAGAGTATTTCCTTTAAAAGAGCACCTCTCAGAATGCATTTAGACTATTCAAGAGGTAGCTTTCCTTGTGCAACAGTTGTCGAACTCGCATTCAGTGTGCATTTCTAAACCAAAAATAAATAACGGCAAAATATGCACCTCGTTTTAAGTTTAATAGCACTTACTTTTATTATCCGTTGTTGTACATACCTTAGTAATTCTTTTTATTTTGTATTCCAAATAAAACCAAGAATGGCACTTACATCAGGAAGGTGATGAGCGAGTTTATCCTCAGATAAGTGGGCATTAGGTTGGGTATGGAAAAACATGGAGGACGCAATTATTCTATCAATAAGTACGTTAAAGTTTTGAAAGTTTCTTAACAGACCCGACCTCTCCACCCGTTAGCCTCACTGTGGATGGGTGGTATTGTTACTGTCCTTTAATAACTTTCTTCTTTTTCCAAGTACAATTTTATAATCACGTTTGTAATTATCGACGACGGGCGTGGGTACTTGTTCTTTTGCGTTTTGTATCCTTAACATCATCATATACTTTAAGGATCACAAACTGGTGTTTCAATTGCATCGTTTCCAGTGTCAAATATGTGTTCACGTGGTGTTGTTGCCGCAAGGCAAACATTGGTTCATAATCTATGCCGGAATTATTTACAACTAATATAGTGGAAAATATAGTCTTAGTCCATTAGAACCAGCAAGAGCAATGTAAGTGTTAGAGAAGACACAGCCGCACTGATCACTCGATATAAATTTGAAGGAAGCAGGAAAAAGGCATGGGCTTGGTCACACAGTTACAACAAAGTCCAAGAGAGTAGCATGCTAAATTGCTGCTAAACAAATCCACAACGCCAATTGTGAGATAGGATGATCAGAGGACGTCCTTCACCCGGCACTAAAACTATACTTTTTTCAAAAGTGCTCAAAAATAGAAGGAAGACGATATCGTCAAATTGAAGCCATGCGAATTCTAGCCAAAAAGTAACAGAACAGAAAACCAGTCTTTGTAATCTTCTTAACGTGGAAATTACACAAAAAAAAACTAATTTGAACCTTATATTTATTAGCTTATTTAATGATACCTCAGATGGTTTAAATCGCAGTGTGCTATATAGAATAAAAAGAATTATGTCTATTAATTTGATCAATAAATCCAACATTGCATCACTTTTAATCAAGCAAATCTTTTCTTAGCGTATATTAACGCGTAACGCTTTGCATAAGTCATCAAAAGCGTACTTGGCTAAAGCATTCTATTCCGTAATTTATCCTGCTCGTCTCGGTTGGAAATGTCAGCATCTGCTTGGTTTCTCTGAACTAGGTGCACAATATTTATTTACAATGGGTAACAAATACACTTTACTTAAACCTCCTCAGATATTGTATGCAATCACAAATGTTGACCAAAGTATTGGGGATTTGCCAAATGACATCCAGTCAGATAAAATATATAGATGAACAACGACTAATGTATATTCAAGATACTTCGTTCACAATAAACTGAAGGCGACTAACTTTGCTTAGTATGTTGCTAGTGCAACATCAATAAATTTTTGCTGAGACTTTTGGTATTTATGCAAACTAGGCATAATTTTTCTTCTACGTTCATAAGTAAACCTAGCTCATTTGCTAAGCTAATAGTGCATATAAATATTACTGTGCACGCGCGACCATGTTGAACATCTACCAATGAAAGTGAATCCTTTAACGAGCCAATCCCCTGCGGATCTATCCAACGCTCTTGTTTTACGTATTAGGCCGTGGGAAGCGCAACATCTAGCATTACAGTTCTATCTCTGACCTTATAACAACATGTAAAAATGCTTTCACGTGTGAACTAGGTAGCCACTCTTAACCCTTATTGTTGTGCACGTCATCTGGAAAATTACAAACGGATTTCTACATTCCATGGCATTATTTTGGACACCTTTCATCAGTTTGTGTTCCCTCTGGATGTCCTTTGCAAATAATATCCACAGATCCGGACCAGCGATCCTATTTAAAAATGAGTTTTCTACTGCAGTGTATCCAGCAATCCCTCTGAACAATATTACTAATGTATACTTCGAATTTTGTGTGGATTTCTTCCGCGGTCGCTTACTGTATGCGGAAAACGCGAGCGTGGGAACGTTTATTTCGGTAAAGTTGACCAGTCCAGCCCTAGTGCGTCTGGAATTAAGGCTTCTGAAAGAGGAATACGAGAACGATCCGCAGCCGGATTACGCGTATATTGTGATTAGTGCGCCGGTACAAAACGGATCCGCCAAGGCGGGCAACTGCAGATGGCATAGCCTTGATATTCGATTGGATTTTTTCAATCACATTTTGCTACTTGTCGTTGATGGTAACGCTGCGTACTCCTCATCTGTGCGCGATGCGCTGGGTTGGCCCACGGATGCATTTGGCCAAATGACCTATTTCGGTCGCCTGCAAAGCTCGTTATTTACGGATACAAGCAAAATTTTGCACTTCACGGCCTCCATGGAAAACGCATTCATGGGAACATTGAGAAATTTGTTTGTGCGTTCGTGGACAATCAAACGTGGATTAAATTATGCTGTTTCTGGAGAAACGAAGGAGCCAGTACAACAATCTAGCCTCATGATTCCAAGTATGCTATTAAATTATGCTGTTATATCACCTGGAATTTCAAACTGCTACCTACTGACACGGAACAAGTACATTTCGCGGACAGGTGACCAAATGAAGAAGTCCTTTACGCCGAATTTTAATGTCCTGAATTTGCTTTCCTACTTCTATGGTTGTCCGCCTGGATCTTTGTGTCTCGACAGGGAGGATGGACCCTCTTGCGGATGTGGCGTTAAGGATCCCACCAAGCAGTTTTGCAGTCTGCGTACGTCGAACTTACCGAATGTTTTCTATTAATTCAAGTTATGCTGTTTTCGGCCTTTTCGGAAGAAAGTGTGTTGCATATTTGTATCGTAAAGGAAAGAATAATTCAGTAACGCAAAAACGCATTATTTGCAAGCAAACCACTTTTTGCGTTGCTTACAATATTTTCATCGAATCTCCGTTAGTTTATCTAGCGAAAATTAACAAGCGTTTTTTTTCGCCTAAACATAGGCTACCAAGATAATGATATTGTTCTGAGGTACTTAGAAGAAAACTGGGTAGACAATGCATCTGGGATCCTAATTTGAAATCCCACGTTATTCTGGAACGCCATTCTCAGTTTGCACGGCCTATTCCCAGGTACAACTACTTGACTATCAGTCACGAGTACAAGTAGTATGAAGGAAATCTACTTAATTTAACAATTCGAATTTTAGACAAAGATCACCTTCCATTGACAAGTAAACCGATACCTTACTTAAACAGTTAGAATAACCCGATCACGCTAGCTGAAAGTAAAAACGAAAAGTGATAATCTCACGGAAAGGGGTGTTGAACGGAACACAGCATCAACTAGCAGGAGTGACCGAAACCGAATATATATTCCTTCAAACAAAACGCAGACAGCAATGGAATCTCCATATATTTTATGTATGCAGAATTATGGCTGTCTTTGACGGGGACATCCGTGTCAATTACTTTTAAGAATTCATAAAAGTCTGCATAGCAGTATCTTTTGAATGGCAAATAGGGATCAGGTGAAAGGGACAAAGTTGTCAATATGCTTTCACTAATGCCCACTGATCCCTTAAGTTAAGAGTTTCCGTCATTCATTGCTTTTTGAACACAGCATGCGCAGGGTATATACAATTTACGCGATTGACAAAATTTTCGAGTTAAAAACACTTCTTTTTAATAGGCCTAGCAGGGGTTGCAAACTGAAGCCGAAAAATCAAGTTTCAAGAAGTAAGAAAAAACACAGAACCGAGTGCGCACCTCGTACCACATTCACAGCCGAAAGGCGATAATTAGTAGAAGGCCCAAGAAGTGCGGTGTTCATGGGCGAGTAAGGGGTATACCAAACTGTTACTCTGGGGTATGAAAAAGAGGAGAATAATGTTTTTGAGTTTAAACAACATACAAACACAAATAAGCTCTCTTAGACAACTCATTGTCGGGCGGGTAAATGTCAGAAAATATTTGGTATTAGACAAATCAATTGGCAGTTATAATATTAGAACAGTAAGTGCGTAAAATATTTCCTCCTTTCAAAAATTTTATTTCATTACACGATATGATAATGTCTTAAAGTACTTCAGATACAAAAAACCGAATAAAAATAAAAGAGAATAAGGAAACCAGTCATATATGAAGTACAATGTGGAACATGGCTGAAAATGTAGGTCAAGTTAAAGACTCAGCCGAAAAGTATTAATCGTAAACGCTTGATAGAGATTGGTTGTGCACTGTTAATGTGCATTTTTTTGCTATACTTAGCGTGTTTTTATAATAAAAAAGATTGAAAATTTTAATATTTAACATCAATGCCAATTACCAATGACTTGAAACATATTTGCAGAAAGGCGTAAACGATGGCTATCCATCAAACACACACCAAACCTTACAAAAGTGATTTCAGCATTATGTCTTTAGGTATCCTTCAAATTTTGTGATGTAGAATTGTACTGCAGAATAATATGGAATCATTGAAATCAGAAATTCGTTGGCATGATATTTCGGATAGTCGTTTGCACCCGCCAATTGAGATTCTCTCCGTAATACTTAGTTTCAATGCGAATCCAGAATGTCAATCCAATCAACGTTTTATGTCAGATGTCTCGTTTTATTCTAAACTAGTTTTTGGAATGCGCCTTTTCGCTTTTATCGGCAGAGTATAAGTATTTCTGGGATATCCAGATGCTTTAGTCGGTACGAAAATATTTCTAGAAAAATCGGCACGTCACATGTTGTCACTGGTGTCAATTATTAAGCAGTCTATGTTTCTATCCTTGTTAATACCACCAGACCGTATAGTTTTTAGAGCTTCTAACTGTGAATTTGCACATTCGTAGTAATGCAATTGCACACAGGGCTGTTATGGGGTCGCATGATGGAGGTATTACGGTACAAGGCCTTAGCAGCAGATTTATTCTCACATTCACCTGGCAAATTTTGGATGCGTGTGGGTCTAATATATTGGCCACCTTCTACTTGGATCACACGCTAAGATTCAAAAACTGCTATTAATGCCATCCTACCATAGCAAAGGGCTGGTATTTGTTTGGTTGTGTCTTAATGTGAAATTGTGTATCACAGTAGCCAAGTACTTATTGCCAACGACATGCTAGCTACCACATGAACTATGGACATCCGTACAAAAAGAATCATGTGTGTTTCGCTTTGCTATTAAGTATCTTCATCTTATAGAAAGTTAGCAACGAGCATATTTTTTCATCCCCATGCTGCGTAAGCCAACAACCAGATGTTTAGATAACTGCATTTTCCGAGCTGACATTAATGATTGTTGTTTTCAGTCTAAGTGATGTAATCCAAAGATTTTTCATACCGAGGCAATGTCTAGAATATTACTGAAACCTCTCACATAGCTTGTAATTTGCGTAAAAAGATAGTTAAGTGCACGAACTTTCCCTCGTTATTAAGTTTTGAACATTTTGTTTTTATTAACATTCACCAAAGACCTAACTTTCGAACTGCCAATCAAGTGCAATAAGCTAATGCAAGGCTATTTATGTTGGCCTATATAAACGTGCTCTCTTCTTTCGTCATTGGCCACTAGCGTATGGCTTATTGAATGATAACGCTCATTCTTTAATAAGTATTCAGCGATTTGTTATTCTACTTAAGGAACTCCTTTTATCGAGACATGAGCTGTCAGCTTGAAACTACTTCCCCTAAGTAATTACAATTAACAGAGAACGAAACGTCGTTCAAAACAATAACAACAACCTTATCAGCATCTCACAGATAGTAAAGTCACCAGTCAATCTTTGCATCCCCGGGCTCAAATAAAGTGTTAAGGTTTAAATAACACCACCGCAACTGTCACAGAGCGTTGCATAAACGACGATTTCTGAAACCTGCAAGTTCTTTGTAACAAAAAATGTGCTTACAAACTGGAAATGTTGTCTATCGAATGCCGTTTGCCGTTTCTGTTAACTACCTATAAAATAGAATTCAATGTACGGATAGGACGGATCTGCTCAATAAATAGTTTCGCAATATTCGCATGCTATGAGCTGAAGTAACAGTTAATGCGTACCTCTATCGAAAAGGCTGTAGGCATTTTTCTTGCCATATTGTTCACTTTTCTTATTTGCATAAAAGCATCTTAGTTAATTTCCGTTGAAGTATGAATGAAAAAAATCGCTAAACAGTCGCATAATTGCAGGTTATTTGACAGGTTACGTTATATAGTTGCTGCAACATATATAGTATCTTAAACATTCCTTGTATAAAGGAAATAACAGTCATATGCTACTGTCAGC